CCGGAGGGGGGGAGGCCAGACCTGCCCCCTCGGGGGCTCCAAGAGGTGAGGAGCCCCGGCTGCCCCCGCGGGTCAGGCACACAAGTGGCACATTGTGTGGGCCCCCCACGTGTGCACACACGAACACACACACACACACACAATGGGCCACTCTGTCCCTCCCCCTGCCCTCTCTCCACTCCCTCCCGTGCCCTCCCCTCTGGCCTGGGCCTGGAACACTGGGTGCCTGAGCCAGGCTCTGAAGCCTGCGGCCTGGCGCCGCTGGCAGACACGCTGCATGCACACCCCACGCCCGCCTGCCTAAGGCCAGCTTAGCAACAGCGATGGGCACGCGTGTGTCCTGTGACTACAAAGCAGCACTGGGGTTGCTGGGGAGCGAAAGTGACTGAATGATGCGTGGGAAACTGAGGCCCAGAGCAAAGGCCTTTGCCCAAGGTCACACACAAGAAGGATGCTGAGACCAGGAGCCAGGCAAGCTGCAGTCAAGCTCAGCCCCTGAGTAGTGAACAGAGCTGAGCCAGGGGCAAGTGGAGGGGGCCTAGAAAGGAGGCACAGGGAGTGGACAGGGGCTGCTGGTGCCCACCTATCCCCTCCTTCCCACCACCCCAACCCCAGCCCGCTGGCCGCAACCTGTCTCTGACCCAGCCTGCCTGCCTCCAGAGCCGTGCTCGCTGGGGCTTGCTATGCCTGGCTTGGTCCCTTTTCCCCCACCTGTCTGCCTCTGTCCTTGCACACTGACACCCCCACCAGCGGAAGACTGCCACCCATCCACCCACCTCTCTGGACCTTCGCACCAGTGGGCAAGCATCCAAGTGCAGGGCAGCCAGGTGCTCCTTGCCTTTGGACAAGCCCCCCTGCCGGAACACCGAGCCCTGGTGCGCATGCCCGCACACACGCACATGCCCTCACTGCTCCTTCCAGTGCTGCCTGGCAAATGGGAACTGTGGCACAAGGATGGCCTGCGTGCATGAGTGCGCGTGTCCTCCAGAACCACTAGGTCACCCCAGCTAACCATGGGGATGGAAGCCCTGTGGGCATGGGCCCCCTACAGCCCAGGGAATAAGGCTCAAATGGCCCAGGGGCTACCCCAGCCCCCTCATCAACAAACTCAGAACTCACCCCCCAAGACTGTTCGCCTTGGGCCTCTGAGTCAGCGGCCACCCCCTGCACTGATTCACCCAGTGGGTAGTTATGATGGGGCTGGGGTGGAGCCTGGAGCTGGGGCTCCGCCTGGGCCTTCCAGGGCTTCCGGAGTCTGGGCTGGCCAGCTCGGCCTGGCAACCTGGCTGGGGGTCAAATCCCCACTTGGCTAAGGAGGCACCCTGCACAAGTGCCTGTGCTACAGGGGGACTCTGGGGAACACTGAAGCGATCTCCCCCGAGCCCACACTGCGCCTCCTCCCCCAGGTGTCTTCCTTATTCCCTACGTCCTGATTGCCCTGGTCGGAGGAATCCCCATTTTCTTCTTGGAGATCTCATTGGGCCAGTTCATGAAGGCCGGCAGCATCAATGTATGGAACATTTGTCCCTTATTCAAAGGTGAGCAGCCCCAGGCCTGCCCTTCCCTCCGTGCCCCCTGAGGGACCCCTCCCCTTTCCCATTGCTAGGGCAAGGGCTTGGGAGCAGAGCACGGCTGGCACCCACTTGAGAAATCTTGTCCTGAGCACCAGGCCTGGGACTGGGTAATGGCCCGCCGTCTCAAGGGGGAACCTAAAAGACACACAGACCACACAGTGAATGTGGAGAGGCAGGCACTAGAAGGGGGCTAGGGCTTCTCCACAAGGGCAAGGACAGCTCACGCACAGCCAGGCTGGAGCAGGACCTGCTGAACACATTTGGCTCCTTCCAAAGAAGCTGGAGCACAGAGAGGTACCCACTGAAGGTGACTGCCTCCCACACCCCAATGTACTGGAGGCCGCTGGGGGCCAGGTGTGTGAGGCTGGAGAACCCACAGGACTGACTGGTTGGATTGGGGCAGGAGGGGAGCTCTGCCTGGGCTCTGGGGGTGCATGGAGGGTGGGCAAGGAGACAGACTGGGGAGCAGTCCCAGTGTGGGGACACTCACATAAGGGGGAGTCCAGGGGCGGCTTGGAGAAATCTCCATAGCACAGCAGAGAAGGCTCTGGTAGGATGCATGGTTGGGAGGGGGAGGATGTCGGCCCAGGGTGCAAGCTGGAAGGGGCCCAGCAGTTGGGACCACTGCCAGCGCTGGTAGGGGAGAGAATTCGGTGGCGGGAAGTGGCAAGACAAGAATCCACATGGAAAGGAACCCCCTGGTCCCCAGGCCTGGGCTATGCCTCCATGGTGATCGTCTTCTACTGCAACACCTACTACATCATGGTGCTGGCCTGGGGCTTCTATTACCTGGTAAAGTCCTTCACCACCACGCTGCCCTGGGCCACGTGTGGCCACACCTGGAACACTCCCGACTGTGTGGAGATCTTCCGCCATGAAGACTGTGCCAATGCCAGCATAGCCAACCTCACATGTGACCAGCTTGCTGACCGCCGGTCCCCTGTCATCGAGTTCTGGGAGTGAGTCAGGCGCCTCTGGGCCAAGCCCATCCTGTCCCGTCCCTCTGGTCTCTGCACATGGCCCAGCCCTATGCACAGGAGGCCAGGGATGTGGAGCAGTCACTTCCGGGAACTGCCTGTCCTCGGGGAGCGCCCAGGCCAGCCCCTGGGGCTCCTTCTGTGGCATTTGTCCCTGTCAGTCTGTCCTGCCCACCCTGTAAGGGGCCTGGGGCCAGGCTGGCAGCACTGCCACTTCCCACCGGCCAGGGCCTCCCAGGCTCCAAGCACACTGTGGTGCCTCCAGGTCTGGCCTGGGTGGGCAAAAGGCTGCAGAAGGGAGGAGCCACCACCCCCCCCCGTCAGGGTGGGTCCCAGTCGCCTGGCCCTCTGCTGGCAGGGCTCTCAGGTGCTCCCTCTCCCCTAGGAACAAAGTCTTGCGGCTGTCTGGCGGGCTGGAGGTGCCAGGGGCCCTCAACTGGGAGGTGACCCTGTGTCTGCTGGCCTGCTGGGTGCTGGTCTACTTCTGTGTCTGGAAGGGGGTCAAATCAACAGGAAAGGTACAGCTGGAGGCTGGCAAGGGTGGGGGCGGCATTGCTCTGGGAGGTGTGTGTCTCTGCAAGGGACAACTGTTGCAACAGGAGGTGATGGGCCCCGGGCTAGCTCCCGCAGAGGGAAACAGGTTCTGAAATCCAGGCCACTTTATCTCCACCCTGCTGCTGAACATTCCTTCCCACCCTCCAAATCCAGGGACCCGCAGCCTTCGCTCCTGAGGGGTGGTCAGAGCCCCAGGCAGTAGCCGTCCCTTCCCTGTGTTGAGCGCCCCATCCCCACCCTGCCGCACTCCCCAGTTTCTCTCCATTCCTCACGTGTGGTCTGAGTCTGGATGGTGTATGTGGACCTGGTCCATGGCGGAAGGTCTTTCTCACCTTCCTCTCTGACCCTGAGGATCCGGAGGGAAGTCTCACTACATCCCTCCCGCAGGGGCCCCTGTCAGGCTAGGGAGACGTAGTGTCAACAGATAAGACAGTGTGTCTGGGGCCATGGGTCACAGCCAGGTCCTTGGCGGGCAGGACTCCAGTGTGTCTCATTCCCAGCGGGGTCCCCAGAGCAGGCACTTGCTGAGGTCGTGGCCCAGCATGGATGTTGGACAAGGAGGCAGAGGCCTTTGCTGTCCTCCTTTCGCTTGCCTCTCTCCGTCTGGCCAAGTTATAATCCCCAACTAGCGACAGAGGACCCCGCCTCTCCACAGAGGATGACCAGGAGGGAGGGGCACATGAGGCACAGGACCTGCCCCAGTCTGATGTCGCCCCCGCCTGGGCCCTACAGGGCTCTGGGAGGGACATGTGCTGGCCAGCTCCACACCTGCACTGCCCATGTGGACCCCGCCACCTCAGACACTCGTGCGCTCCCTTGCCCTTCCAGCCCTTACTCCCCACGTGCTTCATACCTTCCTGTCCCCACATGGACACACTCCAGAAGCTGCCCCTCAAAGGAGCACTTCCCTGCAGAACATGAGCTGTGCCCAGGGCCCCTCGCCTGCGGCAGCCAGACCTGCCTCACCCTCCCGCTGCTGCTGACGGGTGCTCACTGTGGAGCTGCTGGGACCCCAGCCTTGCCCCTAGCTTACTTTGGGAGGAGCCTCGGTCCTGAGGAGCAGAATGGGGGGCAGTGCGGGGGTTGCCCGACCTCTGAATATGGCTCCCAGCAAGGGGGGACTGTGGCCTGCCTGCTCAGTCCTCTGCGGCTCAGTGGGGGCCTCCGAGGGGGAGGCACTGCTGCAGGGCCTGTCTGAGCAGCCCGGCCCCCCAGATCGTGTACTTCACCGCTACATTCCCCTACGTGGTCCTCGTTGTGCTGCTGGTGCGCGGAGTGCTGCTGCCCGGAGCCTTGGACGGCATCGTCTACTATCTCAAGCCTGACTGGTCGAAGCTGGGGTCCCCACAGGTGAGGTGGCGGGGGTGGGGCAAGGCGTGGCAGTGCGGCAGGGCCCCTTATGCCCGCTTTCGCCGGCCCTTCTCTTCCAGGTATGGATAGATGCCGGGACCCAGATTTTCTTTTCTTACGCCATCGGCCTGGGGGCCCTCACAGCCCTGGGCAGCTACAATCGCTTCAACAACAACTGCTACAAGTAGGCACCACAGCCCTGCCCAGCCCTGCCCTGCCCTGCCAATGGACGGCAGACAGCCTAACCAGTTCACTCTGTCCCCCTCCATCCCCAGGGATGCCATCATCCTCGCGCTCATCAACAGCGGAACCAGCTTCTTTGCTGGCTTCGTAGTCTTCTCCATCCTGGGCTTCATGGCCACAGAGCAGGGTGTGCACATCTCCAAGGTGGCAGAATCAGGTAAAGACCCCCCAGTCCCACCTCCAGAGCAGTAGTTGATGTCCTGGTGTACGACATACATGCATGCACATGCAAACAGAAATTCTGAGACGCATGAGACCAATTGAAAGTGAACTTGTCAGATTGGCCCAGCCAAGCAGCTGCGAGGTAGAGCTGTTCTCCAGCCATCTCAGGACTGGGGACTTGAGCCCCCTTCTGTCCATCCCTAAGGGCCTTGGGTATGTGCTCCTATTTGTCAGAGTGGTGCAGAGGGAAAGGGGGGCCTCCTCTCAGCCCCTGCTGCATCACCCCAGGGTTCACAGTGACTGCGACCACAGTGGCCACTGGAACCTGGGGAGAGGAGTCTGAAGCAGGCAGCCCACTGGTACAGGGTAGGGATCTGCTGAGGGCCTGCAGGAGTCTTCCAGGCGCCTAGTATGGGATGCCTATAGGGGTTTGTGCAGCCTGGCCGTGCCTTGCCACCAACAGAAAGGCTGGGCGTGGCTCTGGGCTACAGGGAGCTCTGTTGGGTGGCCTGCTGCCTTGGAGGGAGTAAGCCTGGGTGCCTGCAGGCAGGCTCAGGGTGCTGCATGTCCCCTGCAGGGCCTGGCCTGGCCTTCATCGCCTACCCCCGGGCCGTCACACTGATGCCTGTGGCCCCACTCTGGGCTGCCCTGTTCTTCTTCATGCTGCTGCTGCTTGGTCTCGATAGCCAGGTTTGCAGAGGGCTCCTGGGACAGGGAGCCGGGCGGTGGGGGTGGGTAGAGGGGCCCAGCATACTCGGCAGGGAGAGGTGCGGGGCAAGTGGAGGGGCTTGGCCTCAGCTGCCCTGGCCACAGTTTGTAGGTGTGGAGGGCTTCATCACCGGCCTCCTCGACCTCCTTCCGGCCTCCTACTACTTCCGTTTCCAAAGGGAGATCTCTGTGGCCCTCTGCTGCACCCTCTGTTTTGTCATCGACCTCTCCATGGTGACTAATGTAAGTGGAGGTGGGGTGGGTCTGCCCATGGCATCCACCGCCGTCTGCCATCTTCCTTGACCTGGCTTCATCCCCCAGGGTGGGATGTACGTCTTCCAGCTGTTCGACTACTATTCGGCCAGTGGCACCACCCTGCTTTGGCAGGCCTTTTGGGAGTGTGTGGTGGTGGCCTGGGTGTACGGTAGGTCTGGGCTGAAGGATCGGGAGGGAGAGGCAAGGGAGGGACACAAGGGTCTCCAGCTCTGGCCCTCCCGCCTCACCCCAGGAGCTGACCGCTTCATGGACGACATTGCCTGCATGATCGGGTACCGACCTTGCCCCTGGATGAAATGGTGCTGGGCGTTCTTCACCCCGCTGGTCTGCATGGTAAGACTGGGAGGCCAGGCAGTGCGGGCAGTGCGGGCAGTGCGGGAGCCCTGCTAACCACAGGCGCTTGTCCACAGGGCATCTTCATCTTCAACGTCGTGTACCATGAGCCGCTGGTCTACAACAAAACTTACGTGTACCCGTGGTGGGGCGAGGCCATGGGCTGGGCCTTTGCACTGTCCTCCATGCTGTGTGTGCCCCTTCATGTCCTGGGCTGCCTCCTCAGGGCCAAGGGCACCGTGGCTGAGGTAAGGCCCCGCTCCAACCCTCCCTCTGCAGCACGGACCATTGTGCCGGAAGCCTCTGGCCAGCACAGTCTGGGGGTGGATGGAAGGAAAGCTGGCCCTCCATGGCCTCGGGTGGTATCTGGGGAGCAGGGCCCAGCCCTAGGTCCCCTCCCCTCCGTGTGAACATCCACTCAACCCTGCTTCCTAGCACAGAGAGTGGAGCCTGAAAAGTCCCCTTTGGAGAAGGGCCTTGACTTGGTGGCAGGTGGTGGGAACTGGAGAGGGAGAGGAAGTTGCCATGGGGACAAGCAAGTGACCCTGGGGGGTGGTTCAACATGCCCTCCTTTCCTTCAGCGCTGGCAGCACCTAACTCAGCCTGTCTGGGGCCTCCACCACTTGGAGTACAGAGCTCAGGATGCGGACGTCAGGGGCCTGACCACCCTGACCCCAGTGTCCGAGAGCAGCAAGGTCGTCGTGGTGGAGAGTGTCATGTGACAGGCACCCCAGTTCACATCACCAGCTCACCCTTGGTAGCCATAGCAGCCCCTGCTTTAGCCCCCACCCCACCCCTGCAGGGGTCTTGCCTTTCCCTGACAATTTCCGGGTCTGCCTGGGGATGGGAGGGAGGGAAGCACCATGAGTGCTAACTAAAATAACTTTTTCCATTTTTAATAAAACGCCAAAAATATCACAACCCACCAAAAATAGATGCCTCTCCCCCACCCCACCCCCCTGCCCTAGGCAGGCAGGCTGGTCCACACGTTGCTCCCAGGCCCTGCCTAGCTCCCCTCCCCCAGTACCCTGGGACCTATCTCCTCCTACCCCCACCATGCCCACCCCTGCCTGCCACTCCAGGTTCTGCTCTGTCACACACCCTCGGGTGGCCCCTCACCCCAAAAGCAGCAGTAGCAGTTTGGAGAATGGGAGGGGAGGACAAGGGTGGTGAGGGAGGGGCAGTGGAACAAGGTGAATATTTCAGCTGTATTAGAACCTTCTCCCCATCCCTATTCAGAAGCTTAAAGAGCCAGCCAGCAACGGAACCTACCGGTTCCCGCGCCAATCGCCACCAATACCAATTGTGTGAGCTTGGGTACAAGCGCATGTGTGTGTGAGTACGTACAGTATATATAGATTCCTATCTCTTAACAAAGTGAATACCAGATGTAAACGGTGCCTCTGGGCAAAGGAGGTTTGTATTTTGCACATTTTATAAAAACTTGAGGAGACAGCGAGATTTCTGCTTGTATATTTCTAAAAAAAGAGCCCAAACCATCCCTTCTCCTTACCACTCCCTGTCCCTTTCAGCCCCTCCTTATTCCCCTGCCCCTAGCCAAGGAGTGTGAATTTATAGATCTAATTTTCATAGGCAAAACAAAAGCTTCGAGCTGTCGAGTCTGCGGGTGTGTTGTGTGGATGTGCATGTGTGGTCCCCAGCCCCAGACTGGGGTGGAAAAGTACATGATGGGTGCAAGAGGATACAGGGTTCTGTCCCGGGGCTCTGGGGCTCTCACCTGGCCTGCTCGGGCTTGCCCACACCCTGCTCCCTGGGCTGGGCAGAACCCAGGGAAGGAACCCCGGGCATGGCTCCCACCTCCGAGCTTAAGGCCGATGCACTTTCCGCGTGGCCCGTCTTCTGTGTAGCAGCTTTAACCCATGTACGTCTGTGTCACATCAAGTCCCGAGACAGCCGAGTGGCACCTAGAAAGGCTTCCCCCCACTGTGACATAGGCTGGAGGGGTGGGGCTGGGTGAGGACGACAGACCTGTGGGGACGTTCTTACTGTGCTAAAAAGCCACTGCAAAGACAGCAATAAAAACATGTCCTTTTCCAAAGCTGGCTCCTGCCTCTACCTCTGCTTCTCTGGGAGGGGAGGAAAGAGGTGCAGGAAGTGGGGGGACCTTCCCAGGCAGGAGCTGCTGCATTCAGCAGGCGTCTGTCCTGAGGGCCTCTGCACCCAGCACTGCTTGCTCCAGGAACTGGGGGTCAAGCCAGAAGGAAGCCCGCAGAAAGCCGTCCCCCCGCAGCTGACACAGTCGGGGAGAAAGAGAGAGTAGTAAGCTGAGGACGAGCAGATCAAGCAGGCAAGGGTGGGTGTGAAGCTTTGGGCGCTGAAGTTTTCAGAAGGTTACCCCAAGAATGTGTCACTGAACAGGTGACCTTCCAGGATGTGAAGGTGAAGGGTGGGCCAGGGCCAGTTAGATCCTGGCGAGGAGGCCACAGCCATAACCCAGGGCGAGGTGGTGTTACTTGGACCAGGGTGGTGGCAGGGGAGGGGATGAGAGGTCTTTGGATTAGGAGTCTACATTGAAGGTGGACTCCTGTGGATTGCCAGGATGCAGATTGAGAGAGTCGTCAAGGAGGGCATCGAGCAATTCTGCTGGAGCAACCAAAAGGATGAAGTTGCCAGGTCTTGCAATGGAGAGACAAAGAGGGGACAATTGGGAGTCAGTTTTTGGGTGTGTCATGCGGGAAATGTCATCCAAGTGGAGATGTCTAGTTGGCAGGTGGACATAAGAGTCTGGAGTTCCGGAAAGAGCCTGGACTGGAGACAACTCTGGAGTTCTCACCACATATAGGTGACACTGAAAGCCCTGGGCCCAGATGAGCTCACCAGAAGAGGCAGCAAGTGGGTGTAGAGGAAGAAATGGCCCAAACATGGAGCCCTCAGACACTGAGAGGTTGCAGAGAAGAGGAGGAGCTGGCAAACAGGTTAGAGGGAGCCCAAGTGCCAGGAAATCCTGCAAGGGCCGAGGAGGAGAGAGCGACCAGCTCTGTGAGGTGCTGCTGCTGGTCAAGGAAAATGACACTACAGCAGGCTCACTGGGTCTGGCAAAGATTGTGGTGACCTGGACGAGAGGTTTAGGTGGAGGAGTGCATGCAAAAGCCTGACTGGAGTGGGATTAAGAAAGAAGGGGTGGAAGCAAGCTTGAGTGCCTGCTGAGGGAGGAACAGATAAATACAATGTGGTCTAGCCATGCAATGGGGTATTATTCAGCTTTAAAAAGGAAGGAAATTCTGACACACACTACGGCACAGATGACCCTTGATGTCACTGTGCTCAGTCAAAGAAGCCAGTCACAAAAGGACAGATCCTGTATGGCTCCTCTTACATGAGGTTCCTAAAGCAGTCCAATTCATACACACAGTAGAGCAGTAGGTGCCAGGGGCTGGGGGAGGGGCTGGGGAGTCACTGTTTCATGGGGACAGAGGTTCAGTGTGGGAAGATGAACAAGTTCTGGAGGTGGATGGCGGTGATGGTGGCACAACACTGTGAACGTGCTTGATGCCACTCAGCTGTGCACTTAAACATGGCTAGCGCTGTATTTTATGCTACGTGTATTTTACCACAATACAAAAAAAAGAAGGGGCAGGGAAGAACTGCAGATAGCGAGTCTAAACAAGACCTTGGAGGGGCGGGACCCTATGCACAAGTGAAGGGTGGCCTTAGCTGAGAGTGCAGCGTCCCATCCAGAAAGAGGCAGGGAAACCACAGGTAGGGGTGGCCAAGACTGGTGGGAGGGGGACGTCAAGGCTTGGGAGCCTGGTGCTCACTCTGGAGTCCGGCCTGAGCACAGGTGAGGGTGTGACACACACACACACACCCCTCCCCCCAGACAAGGGACAGCTTGGGCTGCTCACTTCAGGTCCTTCCAGGAGTGCTATTTGGAAACACCCAGAGTCCCTGCTCTTCAGCAGGCAATGTCTTCTTGTTGAGGAGGAGCTTTTACACTAAATTTCTAGAGCCAGCGGAGGGATCTGGCTTGGGATACTGTCACCAAGAAGAGCCTGGGTTATAAACACATGGGTTCACAAGGGGACAGGGAGGTGAGAAAGCAGTAGCGGGTGCACAGTCTGACCCTAACTCAGCCAGAGCCGTCAGAGCCTGTCCTGGTGAGCCGAGGCCTCTGCCACGGAAAGAGACCACAGCATAATCCCTGCAAGAGGACACATGCAAGGTCCTGTCCTGCTCCTGTCTCCCTGCCCCACCCTTCTCTTCCTCAGTACTGCTGACAGCCCCCACACCTCCAGCCTGGCCCTTTAGCTGCAAAGGCCCTCCCCACAAGTCCGCCAGACTTCTCTCCGCCCCTCACACAACCCCTGCCCCCAACGACTCCACCCATCCAGCTCAGTGTCACTCTAGGAGGTCCTCTCCCTCTCCTCTCCCCTCCGCCTCTACTCCCACCAACTCGTTAAGCTGTCTGGGCCAGTTCTCCTGCCTGGATGACAGCCACGGTCTGCTAACTATACACAGAAAACACCAACACTGCACAAAGGACATTTCAGAGGTGTGCCATTTGAACTGGGCCCTGAAGCAGCAGGGTCCTGAAGTAGTGCCAGTGACTCAGGAATCAGCTCCTGTGTTAGGGGTCAGCACAGAGATCAACAAGCAGCAGTCTCTGCTTCAGGCAGCTCGAAGCCAAGAGGGCAATGGGCGGGGGACATGGACCAGCACAGCCCTATAGGGCTGGAATGCTGCGGCTGCTCTACAACACCCCACATGGTCTGAGGGGACTATGAGGGCGCCTTGTTTCCTGGGGGTGGTGCTCCAGTCTAGGCGGGGCACACACCCGTTGCCATCTCTAAGAGCACGTGTTCCCTGCACACACACACACACACACCCTCCCCCCACCCCCGCAACAGGGTGCCCCAGAAGCCGGCCTCACTAGCTTTCTCCTTGGCCTGACCCAGAGAGGGCTTGGCACGGGCCTGGGAGGGGCAGCAAGAGGCTGTCTGGCTGGTGGGGAAGAACCCGCAAGCACGCTGTTTGGACTTTAGCCTTCGGAAGTTCAGAGAAGGGAAAGCTCAGGGAGGTCCAAGATAGTCAGAGAACACTTCCTGGAAAAGTGAGACTAGCCCTTGGCCTTGGCATAGCAACCAGAGGGTGTCACCCGCATGCCTCCTGACCCCACAGACACCATCTCACAGACTACCTGGACAGGGATGGACTCCTTGTGAAGCAGCTGTGTTCTGAGCATGGGGAAGGGCCAAGGGGTGGGAGGGAAGGAAGCCACGAGCCTGGGCCTGTGCAGGGCAGGCAGGACTGGGAAGGTGCTGCTGGCCACGAGCCATCTTGTTGGTGTCTACACCTTCAGGGGTCCTGCCCAATTCTAAAAGACACACTTCTAACCTGCTCCCCTGACCCTTCTGCCCAATCCTCACGCAGACACCAGACATGGCAGAGACCCTGCAGAGAACAGGCATCACCTTTCTCATGCCCTGCTGGAGGGCAGCACAGCACAGGGGCCTGAGCGCAGGGTCTGGTGGCAGGCATGTGTCCAGCACGTTCTTTGGAGGCAGCAGAGGGGGCCCCGACCCACTCACAGCACCTCTCCACCACCTAGCTCTGCCTGGGGCCAGCTCAAGGTCACTGTCAAGGACAAGGCTCCTCTCCCAGCAGGTATTACTCAGAGGTCATCCTGCAAACCTTCAGGAGGGGGTGGGGCAAGGGGAGACTGGTGGCGCTCTGCCACGTTCTGTCTGTCCCTAATGTGATGACCAGGAACCTGGAGAAGGCAAGCGAGTCTGCCACCTGGAAGCCCCGCCAGTTCACCCAGCCTCCCAAGCTCTCCTGGGCCCAGCTGCCAAGGCCCAGGGAGACCGACAGGACAGATACTTCCCCAAGCAGCCATAAAGAGGGGCCTGGCCTGGGGAACGGGAGGGGCACAGAGGGCAGGACCTTCGAGGGCGGGACCTTCAAGGGCAACTGTGAGCCTGGCCTCTAGGAGCTGAAATGTGTTGAAGGAAACAGACCGTTGGGCTCTGTGAGAGCCACCCAACCGCGCCTACCTGGCTGCTCTGTAGCTTCCGGGAGGGGAGAAAGCAGAGTCCCCGCCACGGCCTCGGTTAAACACAAGCACCCAGACACATCAGAACCACCTTTATTGCCCCCAAGAGAAACTCCAGTCTGTCTGCTTCACCTGCCCTCCTGCAGGACCAGAGAAAATATCAACACAGCAAAACAAAAAGGGGGCTGAAAGTAGCTGGAAACGAGCCCTGCTGCAGGCTGGGTTACAAGTGCCCTCTACACCAAGAAATGGAAGCCGGGGCTGGGCAGGGCAGAACAAAAGCGACCTCAGCTTGAATGTGTGGCAACCAGGTCCCCCGTGGTATGCAGGGAGTGCGAACAAGGGGCCCAGATGAGGAGCTACAAGCTGTGGAAGGGGATGGGGGAAGCAGAAGGGAGTGAACCGAGGTACCCGAGGAAGAGGCTGGGCTCCCCAGAAGCAGTGCGCACGTGCCAGGTAGATGCTGGCTGCGGCAGAAGAGGGAGGCCCTCACTCCTCCTTCTTGTCCGTGGTACCATCTACCACAGCCTGAAAATAAACAGAAACCCCAAAGCAGTAGGTTGGCAGTGCCCTCTCCTCCCCTTTGACCTCTAGCCCCACACCCGAGGTCCAGCTCAGTTCCTTCTTCCCCTAAATGACAGGTATCCAGGTGAGAAAGGGGTTCCACCCTTAGCCACACCCAAAGGCTTCTGGGGCGGGGGCTGGGGGGATGCACGCACAGGCCTGTCCACACTCTAGGGAAGGCCCTGAACCTAATGCCAGCCAGGGTAGGACCGCTAGGCCCTCACTAGTCAGGGGGAGCAGCTTGGCATTCAAATCCCTTTCAAGTCCCGGTTCAGGCCCTTACCAACTCTGTGCGCCTTCTACAGGTCCCCTCAAAACCCAGGCCCTACCCAGTGAACCTGCCTTGTACTGAAGGCATGGTTCCTCTTTTGGGGCTGAGTCCTTCCTCCCCACCCACCGTGGTGCCCAAATCTGGGCCACCAAGCACCAAGCCAAGCTGTCCAAACTCAGAGTTGTCTACCCGGCTACCATGCCCAGCTTGAGCTTCCAGGTTGCATTCCCAGGCTAGCCTGAGGACTCAGACCAGGCCTGGGGCAGCAGGCAACGGCAGCGACTGGCACCTGCTAAGTGAGGCAGTCCTCAATGCATCAGACCCTCTGCCCCACATCAGCCTCAACTGTACAGGAGAGGTGGCCTGCAATGGGCCCTAGGGTCTCAGCTACATGTCCACTCTTGACAGGGCCCCATCCCACAGACTGTTCTGGGGGGCTCTGAGACTGAGCAGGTCTGCAATGTAGAGAGCCCCACTGCTGAGGGCCATCTTAGCAAGTGCCTGCCATCTACTGCCAGGCCACACCCTCCTTCCTGCCTGCACAAAGGGTTCCAGCTGCTGGACCTCAGCAGCAAAGGAAGCAGCAGGAAGAGCAGGTGAGCGAGCAGCTGGCTGGCCGCCTGGGCCTCATGAGGGGTACCGGACCCCCCCCATCTGACTGATGCCCGCTCTGTCTGCACAGGCAGGGAGCCGGGCTGACCTGCAGTTTTGCATGCTCCTCCAACAGGCGATCGTACTCCTTGGTGAGGCCCTCGGACTGCTTCCGCATGGCCAGAACCTCGCTTTCAGCTTTCTCTAGTTCTGGATGTGACGCAAATCGTAGAGAAAGGGGAAATAAAAAGACTAGGGTTAGGAAGAAGGAACCTACACACTGGAGGTGCCAGAATTGCCCGAGTCTGACTCAAATGCAGCTGTACAGTAGACCACCTCCCTAAATAAAGTTCCCCTGCCCTCACAGCCCCCCAAAGCAGGGGAAAAAAGGCTGTCCGAAACAACTAGGTGAAACGAAAAAATACAGAGGATGCCCTTTAATGGAGGGAACCCCAGTGGCTCTCAGCAGGGGTGACCTTTAGGGAGGCTGGTGACTTCAATGCCACACAGAGAGCAGCAGCAGCCAAAGCCCATGGTGCCGGCTGAAAAGGCTCCAGGCACAGACTGTGGATGGGGCAGAAGATAGGCTGATTTAGAGCTGGTTTCGATTTCCCAAAAAAAATCTCACCACAAACTCTGTGCACTCCTTTCCTGCATGCCTCTCCTGCCACACCTCTTATTCGCAGCTCCCAGGTGCCTTGGGGCTCCCTGGGCCACACTCCGGTCGGGAAAAGCCCCAGCAGGCCCAGCTCCAGTGCGGCATGGCCAGGGCCTCTCCTGGCCCTGCCACAGCAGCCCGCCCTGCCGGCTATGGGCTGAGCCTGGCCACCTTTGGGCTCGGGGACACAGGGCGCTATTTGTTGGTTTTCACCCAGCTCTTGAGCCTGCATGTGAGCTTTGTTATCCTACTTTAGCACAAGAGGGGCAGCGGGGGGCAGCGGAGGCGCCAGCCTTCTGGAGGAGGAGCACACGAGGACAACCCTCACTCTGCTTGGTATCGGACAGCTCATCCTTTAGCTTCTTCAGGTCGGCCTTCAGGCTCCTGTTCTCTTCCTCCAACTTCACCTCAGCGTCCCCAACACCCAACTTGTGTCCGTCAACAGCAGTTCCCTGGGAAAAGTGCCAAAGGTTACTCGGGAGGGAGGGAGGAGCTCCAGTCCCATCCTCCCCACTGAGCTGCGGCTCCTCAAGCTGCCCTGGGCACTTGCCCCTTCGGAAATGTCACTGCAGAACTGGGCCACTGCCTGCATACAGCTACCAGGCAAAGGCCACAGTGTGGCTGCCCGCCGAGGGACAGGGAAGGGCCAGTGGGGCCACCTGCTACCGCTCACGGGCCACACGCCTTGCCTGCCCTGGCCCCACCTCCTTCCTCAGCAGCTCCATGGAGTTTACCAGTCTTTCTAATGATGCAACTTGCTGTCATCTGGAGATCCCTGTCGCCACCCCCAACTAAGCTCCACCATTCCTTGCTTTCCCCAGGCGCCAAATTTGCCCCTGCCCATCCAGTTCTGTCCCTCCCATTAATCCAAATCCACCATCTCCGGCCCGGCTTGGCTCACGCCTCGCCTCCTCTAACGAGCCTTCCAGGTCCAGCCACCAACCCTGTCCCTGCCTCTTCCCCAGCACTGAGGGACACAACAGATCCCTGAGATTCTGAAGAACTGAAGCTGACAGCAATCACACAGAGAACTTTGACTCACAGCACAGGGCCTGGCTCACTGAGGAGTCATCTGTTCCAAGGAAGAGTCTGACTGGAAGCAGTGGATGGCAGGAGACAGCAGCAACAGCACACCCTCCTGCGCAAGCCCTCGGGAGCTGGAGGGCGTAGGAGGCGCCTCCAGCGGACACATCCTCCCCACGGACAACTTCCCCTCTGCGCCTGCACCCAATCCTTAGGCTTTTCAGGCAATGCCAGTCTCACATGTTCCCTGCCTGACATGCTAGCGGTGGCCACCGTGGCCCCTAAAGAATGTCACTCTCGGTTGGGGGAGGGTGCTCACCTTCTTCAGCTGCTCATTCTCCTCCATGTACTTCTTGGCCGCCTCGCTAGCACTCTCGGCCTGCTTTTTAAAGGCTTCGTTAGAGGCCAGCAGCGTGGCCTGCTGGGAGATGAGAGTCACCAGGCGTCGAAGCAGGCTGCAATTGTTCACAAGACGAAGGGAGACATGAGGAGAGACAGCAAAACGGCTGGCAGGCACTGCTCCTGGGTGCTCGCCGGCCCATCTGCCTCCAGCCTTGACCTGCCCTCTTGAATGGCCGGGGCAGCCGAGCGAGAAGCCGCCAACCTGGCTCTGGCTACACAAGGAAATAGGTGGGGCCCAGGAGCTGTCCTTTGCTGCCACCCCAACGGCCACCCTTGGCTCTGGAAGGCATCTCAGGAAAGGGCTGGAAGTAGGAGCCTGGAGACAACAGGGTAGGGCCTAGCTATGGAACAAGGTCCTGGAAGCCCAGCACTCCCCAGGTTGGGGCCTGGAGGTGCCAGACAAGCCAGAGCCCCACTCTCCTCCCTGCAAGGCCAGGCTTGCCTCTACAAAATAACAAGGGCAGCCAGTAACTGTGGGCACTTCCCACATGCCAGGCAGCACACTCACATCCTCCTCATGAGGTAATCACTCTCACCACTCTTACCTTATGGAGAAGGAAACTGAGGCTCAGCAAGGATAAGCAACTTGTCCAAGATCAAAAGCCAGAAACAGACATGGCTGGATTTTCACCTCATGTCTGTCTGACTCCAAAGCCTGAGCTCAGAACCCCTGAGCTCAGAACCCCTCACAGAGCTCCCAGGTCCCAACATAAGATGGAGAGGACTTTCTTCTCTACCCAACCCCCCCCCCCCCCCCCCCCCCCACCCCC